TCCGCCAGGGCCCCGCCCCTCCGCCAGGGCCCCGCCCCTCCGCCAGGGCCCCGCCCCTCCGCCAGGGCCCCGCCCCTCCGCCAGGGCCCCGCCCCTCCGCCAGGCACCGCCTCTCCGCCAGGGCCCCGCCCCTCCGCCAGGGCCCCGCCCCTCCGCCAGGGCCCCGCCCCTCCGCCAGGGCCCCGCCCCTCCGCCAGGGCCCCGCCCTGCCCGCGCCCCTACGGCCGCTCACGTCGCCGTCCCCGGCGCCCACCCTGGCATGTCTCCCGTGCGCGCTCCGGGCTGTCCCTACCGCCCAGGGTGGCCCCCAGAGCCCCAAGTCCACCCCCGCCACCACCCTCGCCGTTCCCAGCACCCACCCTGGCGTGTCCCCAGACCCCCAATGCCGGGGCTGTCCCTGGCACACTGAGCTGTCCCCTCACCCATCCCACCTGCCCCCTGGGAAAAAAAAGTCCATCCCCAGCCCCTCACACCATCCCCAGCCCCCACCGTGGCCTGTCCCCAGCACCCTACAGTGTCCCCGCGCCCCCCCCCCCCGCAAAACCACTGGGGACACACGAGTGTGTTGCAGACACCGTGAGAGACCCCGCGGGTGGGGCCGGTGTCCCCTCGGGCCACCCGAGGGGTGTTCATGGCGTTACCCCCCCTTTCCCCACCCCGCACCCATCCCTGTCCCTCGGCAGCCCCAGGAAGCACAGGCACACACAGGCAGCAGGGAGCACTTTACCAAGCTGGCGAGATAAAAAGTACAACATTCCATAGTTGGCACCTTGGCGGCCCCTGCCCCGGGGCAGGGCTGTCCCGTCGGCCGGGCTCTTCCCGGGACCCCACTGCCTTCCCAGTGGGACAGCCGCAGCCAGAGGGAGCAGGGAGCGAGCGGCCAGGGACGAGCACTCAGCCAGGAAAAGCCCATTCCTCTGGCCACGAAAATGAGGATCTCCATCCCATGGCCATTTTCCATCCCATGGCTGATCTCCATCCAACAGCCTGTGTCCATTCCATGGCCAGTCTCTGTTCCACAGTCGACCCCTGGCCCAGCAGCCAAGATCCACCCTGGCCCATCCAGACATTTCTCCGCAGCAGCATCAGCCACTCCGGCTGCCAGCAGTGCTGGGGGTATTGCAGGGGGGTCCCTGCCCCATGCTTGCCCCCAGCCCCCTTTGCCGGCTCCATCCCTGGTTTCCTGAGCAGTCATGTGCAAAATGTACCCGTCCCCAGAGCTTCCCAATCCCTGCTCCGGCCCCATCCCGTGTCAGAGCTGTGCCACCGGGCGGGGCCACGGGATGGGGGCAAAGTGTGGACATTCATTAGAGCTTTTTTTTGTGGGCTTTTTCTTTTTTTTTTCCTGAGTTTCTCAGCCTGGATCTTAATTACAGGCTTAAATCTGCAGCCATGGGAGAGGGAAGGAAGTAATGGGCAAGTACTGGGAGGGAGGGGAGGGGAACCAACTGGAGCCCTTGTGTGGTCAGATCCAGTGTGAGGGTGAGCACAGGGAGGTGTTTGCCCAGGCTGTGCTCCCCGGGGTCCAGAGCCTGGCCCCTCAGAGCAGCAGCTGAAGGGCTGCCATGGTGCCTCACTGCCACCCAGACCTACCACACCGCTCCCCCAGCACAGAAGGGCTGGAGTGTGCAGAAATAAAGCGGAAATTTCCCTAAACACCCCATTTCCTTGTCAGCCACAGCCTGGCCCTTCCTGTTGCTCCGGGCGCGTGGCCGTGCTCATGTTTGGAGCTGGCTTTTGCTCCCCACCCTGCCCTGGTCCCAGTGGCTGTCCCTGCCCTGCTGCCCCTCACCACGGCCTCTGTCACTGGCAGCTGAAGCTCCCATGCTGGAGCCAGGCCAAGAAGAAGCAGCTGGTGGTGAGTGGGACAAATCCCATCCAGGGACGTGCAAACCCTCCTGTGCACGTGCCCTGGTGGTGTGTGTCCTGCTTGGCCTCGCTTAGCTCCCCAGCAGCTGGCGGGCAAGGTGAGCAGTGGGCAATCCTGGAGGAACCCGGGGATCACTGGGCAGGTGGTGAGCAGTGGGCAACCCTGAAGGGAACTCCAGGAGTCACTGGGGAGGTGGCTCAGGTGACAACCGCCTGGATTCAAGCCACCACCTCAGTAGCATCCCAGGATCTCCGGTAGCTGGGGCAGCAGAAGCTGTTGCAGGGTCCATTAGGTTTAGGGTGGCAGAGCTGGGGATGAACTTCCTTCCCTTTGCCTTCCTGTGGTGCAAGGCCCCCCGCACTCCTGTCACCTGCAGTCAGCAGCCAGGTGCAGGGCCCCCGGTGCAGGGAGCTGGTGGGGAGTGGGGCAACTGCTGGAACCTCTGTATGGTGCAGCTGGTGGGGCTGGCAGTGGGGGTGACCCCGGGGTTTGCTTTTGGACTGAGAGCTGAGGAGCTCCAAAATGCAGCATTTTGGGGGCTTTCGAGGGGTGGGGTTTTGGCTTGAGGTGGTGGCGCTGGCCGCAGACGCCGGGTGCCAGTTCCCCGTGTGGCAGGGAGGGTGCTTGGGGAGATGAGGGTGAACCTCCTGTGACTCTTCAAAAGCAACCGCAGATCCAGCTGAACCCCTGGCGTCTTTCCAAAGTGCATCCGTGTGTCCAGCCGAACTCAACCAGCGGATCTCTGCATGGGAAACTCAAGGTACAATGTCAAAGGGAAGAGAATCAAACATCACCACCACTGTGCATTAGAAAAGCTGTTTAAAGTACCACATGCCGAAGGGACCAAAGTCTCAAGCTGCTTTGCTGCAGGCACGGGGTGACGCCAGGGGCTGTGGTCCCACTCTGCTTCCTGGGTGGGCATCTTCAGTCCCAGGAGCTGGCTCAGCTGGGGCCAGTCCCAGCCACCGTGATGCCTCTTCCCTTCTGGGAAGGGCCCAGAGACATGGGGGCTTGGGCTCTAGCTGCTGCCTCTCTGCCAGCAGCTCTCCAAGTAAGAAACAGAAGCAGAACCCCTGGCAGGACACAGGGGCCCCTGGCAGCCAGAACAGCCCCTCACAGCACTCCCTCCACAGCCATCGCCACCCCTCCAGCTGGAGGGGCCCCTGCGTGGTCAGGGCTGGCTTCTGGGGCTGTTTGCACTGTCCAGCTCGGGGGCGAACTCTGTGATGACCCTCCGGGCCAGTGGGTTTGTGGTCTTGAGCAGTTCAGCGGCAGATGGCCGGGTACCGGGGCTGGTTTTGCTGCTCTTCTTTTGAAGCAGGGCTTTAAAATCCTCATTCCTGCTGGAAGACTTCCCGCTGCTGCCCGCTGCTGCTGGGGACTCACTGGTCGGGGAGCCTGAAGTCTTTACAGGTGAGTGGGAGGTGGGTCGGCTGCTGAAGGTATCACCAGGTTCTTTCCTGCCCAAGACCTTCCTCTTTGACCTAGGCACCAAAGGGACATGGGTGGGAGCAGCCTTGGACTGGGGTGAAGTCCCACAGCAAGGGGCACAGCGGTGCCCAGAGCTGCCTGTGCCTGCTTCACTGGGGCAAGGTGACAACGCAAGCCTCGCAGGTCATGCTCATGGCAGGACCAACCTGGACCCACCCCTGCAAACTGGTGACCCAGCCTGGCTGTGCTGTGAAGCACTCAAGACAGTACCAGCTGGGCTGCCCCAAGTGTAAGCATCAGCCCATCAAGGAAAATTGAGGTGTTGTGGTGGGGGGAACGCTGCGCCTGGTGCTGTGACTGTGGCAGGATGCAGTGGGTACAGGGGCTGTGCCCCCCCAGTGCCATGCACCAGCCTTACCTGTGGATCACTGTGAAGAGATCCTCTGTGGTGCGGGATGTTGTGAACACCTCATCATCCTCCTCCACAATGGACTCGGCTGTCTTGTCGCTGGCAAAGCTCTTCTCCTCTGTGCTGGCCTCTGCTGAGCTGCCTGTGGGCGGGCAGGAGAAGATGGCAGTGAGCCCCTTTGCAGCACGGAGGGACACCCCTGTCCCCAGGGCGATCCCACCATAGGGATGGGGAGACCCTCACCTTGCTCCGAGGCAGGGTCGCTGGCTTGCACGGTGCCCACAACCTTGGGGGACGGCGGATCCTCAGCGTCGGGGTCGCAGCAGGTGGGGTCAGCGTCCAGGGTGATGATGGGGCTGGGGGTGGGTGGTGGGTCCCCCATGCTGGCTCCCAGCTGTGCTGGGGCTGGCATGAGAGGCAGGTACAGCACGCTGGGCTTTTTGGGCACCGGTGGTGGCACCTTGGCCTTCCTCCTCTCCCTGTTGGCGGCACCGCTCCGCTCTGGCTGCAGCTCCTCCAGGCTGCCCTGTGAGAGCCGCCGGGGTCCTGCCGGGGTCAGGGACAAGGGGGGCTCCCCCAGACCCCTCCTCAGCTCCCCTCTCCGCAGCACCACGAAGCCGTCCTGTGGCAGCACCTTCTCCTTTGCAGCAGTGCCTGGTGGGGACATGGAGGACAGGGGACCCTCCTCCCGCAGAGCTGGGGGTTTGGGCAGGATGCATGGAGGGCGCTTGGCCAGAGGCGGCTTCTCTGCCACAGGCGGCTTCACCTTCCTCTCTGGCCCCGGGCAGGGGCCACGTGCTGGCTCCTCCACATGCTCCGGGCCGTCGGCATTGTCCTCTGGCTCCGAGCGGCTGATGGAGCGGAGGCGGACAGACTGGAGGTCAGATTGTGTCACCACTGGCATAATGGGCATGATGGGACTGGTCTTCTGGGCCAGCTTGGTGCCAAAGGTGGAGTCGGAGTGGTGCCTGCTGACCTTCGTCTTCCCCTTTAGGGAGATCTTCAGCCCTGAGAGGTCGAGGTGGGCAGGTGGAGTCATGGGGAGGTCAAAGGACAGCCTGCCCTTGGGGCTCCTCTCCATGGGGGATATGGGGGGCAGTGAGGACTTCCTTTCAGGGACCAGTGGCCTCACCCGCACCTGGTGCGGGGAGTGCCCGAGTATGGCAGAGGTGGGGACGGTGGGGGTTGGGGTCTCTGACTGACTGGAGTACCCACTGGATGGGGACATCAGTCCCGTGGGCCTGCCTGGAGAGGAGGTCTTCATGTCTGCCTCGGCAGAGAGCTGGGAGGGTGTTGTGGCCCTGGAGACGGAAGGGGACACAAGGGACTCAGAGCTGCCCCGTGTCTTGGCGCACTCGATGGCTGTGGTCCCCGTGGTTGTGCTTGAGCTGGAGAGGGATCGGTAGGGATCACTGCCACCCTTCCAGTCTGCGAGATGCCACTGGTGGGGGGCAGCTGTGCTGTCAGGCTCCCTCCCCGCACTCCCCTGAGGGTCAGCATGCACCAAACGGTGGCCCTGGAGCTCTGGTGGGATGCACAGGCTCTTGGGCCGCTGATCCTTGGGCAGCGCCGCAGCGAGCCCCGTGTCATCGTCCTGCCCCTCTTTGATCAGGGACACGCTGCGCGTGGGCGGCGAGGGCTTCTTCTTGGCCTTCTTCAGGGAGATGCTCTTGGAGCGCCGCCGCCGCTGGCCCTCGGGCTCCAGCCCCAGTGAGATGTTGTCAGTGCTGGTGCTGCCCTCGGAGCTGGCGCTGGGGTAGCCCAGGGCGTAGTTGGCGCTGCCCCGCCGGGTCTCAGCGTACGCGATGTCCATGGAGCAGAGGGACCCCGAGTCCGTGGGCACCGACAGTGACCGCTCGCGGAACCGGCACCCTGCCCGCTCCACCTCCAGCCGCATCGGCCCTGCCGCCGGCGCCAGCTCCTCTCGGCTTCCCGGCAAGAAGTTCCCCTTGGCTTCTTGGACGCACCCAGAGGTGAGGGGGGATGCAGGCACTGGGCCGGAGAAGAAGCTGGGCCCGTTGCTGCCCATGCGTTCTTCCGTGGCGATGAAGAAGGAGGGGGTGGCAGCAGCGGGTGAGCCTGGGCCGGGCGATGGGATGGAGCCACCTGGTGAGGTGCAGGTGGGCCCCTTTCCCAGGCCGGTGGGGGGGCTGGGGGGGCTCCCGTAGCCCAGGGCGCTCCAGGGTGGGGAGAAAGGGGTGCCCTGCATCCCATTGCAGGTGCTGGCACAGGGGGTGGCCGCCCCATCCATGGCAGCAGGCGGCTGGCAGCAGCGGGCCCCGAGGTCACTGAAGGTCTTCCTCAGTGGGGCCGAGAGGGGCTGGCGGGAGCCGATCTCCTGGGGTGCCGTCCCCCCGCTTGTGGCTTCAGGCACAAAGCTGCAGGAGAGGGACTCGGCGATGGGCGCGTGTTTGCTGGATGTGGGGCCGTTGGCACTGCCTGTGAGGAGAGACACAGCCTGGTGAGCATCGTCCTGCCTCACTCTCAGGGTCACAATCCTGCCCTGCATGCCAGGGGCCAGGACTGGTCCTGTGGCCAGTCTCAGGGCTGCATCTCTGCCTAGGCATGAAACATGTTTGGGCAGGTGGGGGGAAGATGTTGTCACCCTGTTACCAGGTTCTCTCCTCCCATCTATATCAGCATGGCCATAACCCAGCAGGGCTAAACCTCGAGCTGGGATCTGTTATCTTGGATGTGCCATGGACAACTCAGCAGCCGTGGCAGGAGGCTCTACCCATGGGATCATCAGCCCCACAGCAACCAAAGTGCTGCTGCAGTGCTGCTCGATGGTGGGGACACAGATGGAGACCAAGAGGAGCCAGGCCAGGCATTGCCAGCTGGGACAGGGAGGGACATGGTGGCTCACAGTGCCACACCATCACAGCACACCTGGGATGGGGAAGGACCCAGGAACTCTGGGGTGGCTCTCAGTGCTACCTCAGCACAGCTGGGATGGGGAAGGAGATGGGGACCCTGCTCCAAGTACCCCCAGCAGACCAGGATTCTCAAGGTTGTGGTGGGCTGAGCCTAACTGACTCCAAGGGAGGAGCCGTGACAACCTGTTGATTGTCTGACTGCTGTCATGGGGAGAAACCTTCCTCCTACTCGGTGATAACTGCCTTGGAGCAGCTGGTGCCATGGTTCACCCCTGTCCCTAGTTGCCTCCAAGGAGAGGCTGGCTCTGATTTTTCTACACCTTCCATAGGGGACAGCAGGACAGAGCCCCTGAGCCACGGTGGCTGCTGTCCCAATGGGTCCAACGCCAGCCCAGGAGCACTGCAGGCTCCCTCAGCCACACACACCCTCAGCACTGGTGCAGCCAGCTCGCCAGCCCCAGCAAAGACCTGGGCAGGGGTGCACCCCACAGCCCTGGCACCCTGTGCACAGGGTCTGCCCACACAGGGGAAGGTGGGTGCAGGGCCAGAGCTGCTGAGGCCAAGGCTGGGTGACTCCTGTCTCAGGATTATGACTCGGGGTGAAGGGGCTGTCCCCAGTGCCATGCCAGCGACTCTGCCCCCCCATCAGGGCAGCTCTGGGGGGTGCCAGCCCTGCCTGGGTGCTGCCTGCGTGGTTCTTGCCGTCACCTTGGTCTCGCAGGGACAGGTTAGGGAATCCAATAATGGTCCGTCTACGCCGCAGGGTGGACTTTGGGTTCATCGCGGTCTCTGTGTTAAACAGGGAGTGACGAGCACTCGCGAGCCTAGCAAAGTGCTGCCCTGTAGCCAAAACAAACAGCGGTACACCGCGGTGCTGGGAGCCGCTGCCAGGGCGGGGGCTCTGCCCCCTCCATCACCCATGTCCCCTGCGTGTCCCCAGCCTGGGATGGTGACACAGGCTGGAGCGTGGGATGGCAGGAGGATGGTGTGAGCCGTGTGAGGTGAGTGCGGGGGAGATGGAGGCATGGCAGGAGATGCTGCAGATGCAGGGGGGATGGATGGAGAGCTGCTGAGACTGGACCCTTGCTGCATGACAGGCACTGGTGAAGCTGGACCCTGCACCACAGTGCTGAGCCACACTGGGCATGTGGGCATGAAGCACAGAGAGGAAAGGGACCAGTGTGGCCCCAGCACAGCTCTTCATGATGGAGGTAAAGGGCGGACAGACACCTCTGCCCTTCAGAAGGGGCACCTCACCCAGCCACCAGCCCCAGAGTCTGACCTGGGGCAGAGCATGGCAGCTGTGTCTGCAAGGACCAGGCAGGACTGCACTGCTGGGAGCTGCAGCCCCAAGAGGACGAACAGACGGACAGACAGGTGACAAGGGTGAGACAGGCTGGGTGCATGGTGTGTGACAAGAGCCCAGGTGACAATGGACCTGGCTGGCTGGGCAGCACAAGAGGGATATGAGATCTGCCAGAAGCATGGCCAGTGGGCCAGACGCACAAAGTTGTGGATGGCATGAGAGATGTCTGGGAATGATGGGTGCCATCATGGTCCTGCTGTCCCCTCTCTGCCCTCGTGCCCACCTGACCCACAGGGACACAGCTCACAATCCCAGCCCCCTCCCACCACCCCCTACCCCACCCCAGCAGGCTGGTGGGGCACATCTCTGCCCTCACCCTGCGTCCCCCCTGCTGTGCCAAGGGGTGCTACCCTACCCGAGACATTAATGGGGACAATGTTGGTCTGGATGGAGCCAGGCTGGTGCCACTGCTTCTCCTCCACGGGGGGCAGGGGAAAGGCCCTGGGCCAGGGGGGCTGCTTGTCCGGGCTGGTGGGGAGGCTCAGGGAGGCGTCAGGGGGGCGAGCGCTGAGGGGGGTGCTACTGGTGCTCTCCTCTTCAGCAGTTCGCCGGCTCGGGGGCTGCAGGGGAAAAGGGAGAGAAAGGCACGTCAGGCACCAAAGGGACAAGGATGGGACACAAATGGGGGCTCGCTGCCCACCCCCATACCCCAGCACTCACCATAAGCACGAACTCAAGACGCTTGGCAGGTGGGGGTCGGGGTGACGGTTCAGGGGGGGTGTCGGGGTGACCAGCGGTGCGGAAGGTCTGCCCAGTGACCCTGCTCTCGGTGTACTGCTCCTCATACTCCTCTGCAAGAAAAACGACAGCTGGGACCCTGCTCTGGCTATCGGCTTCTGTGGCAGGGGGCACGCAAAGAGAGGGGCAACTGGCCCCTCTGGCTGTCCCCAGCCTGGCTGGCCATCCCTGCTCAGGACAGGCAGCTCAGAAGCTGGGGAAGGGAGATCCCAAGGAGGGTCTGGGGGGAGGCTGAAGCAACACAAAGATTCTAGCAGCTGGCCCCACTCCTCCCAGGGGCCTGCCAGGGGATGTGGTGGGTCCTGCTGGGAAGCAGAGCCCCACTGGGGACAGCCAGGAACTCAGTGTGTCCTCATCCTGTAATTGTTGAGCTAATTAATGCTAGTGGCTGTGGACTGGTGGAAAGCAGGGCTGCTCAGGCTGACTTAATGAGATTACAAGCTGGGGGATGGCTGGGCTGCTGATCTCATCGATGCCTGCGGAGCATCGGAGCCAGGGCCGCGTGACGGCCTGGGCCAGAGATTGGAAGAAAACAAAACCACTGGCCACGTCGATCCAGTTAGGCAGATTGGTGGCAGGTCCCTGAGGCCCTCGTGAGCAGAACTGCGCTGTGGTTGGGCTTGTGGGTGACCTGGTGACTCCCGTGGCCTCAGTAGCCCCAGCGGGTAGTCCTGGCCTCAGTTGCTTTGGCACTTGCAGTAGTGATTTGGGAGCAGAGAACAGTAAGGAGCTACTGGAGGCTGGGAACCCTTGGGTTCTGCAGCCCAGTGAGGTGCGAGGAGCGGCTCGGACACGGGCATGGGAGATAAGCTCACTGTTTCGTGGCAATCATGTAGCCAGGGCAGCACCCATGCACCACCCTCACCCAGCCCACCCTGGCCCCTCTCCCCGCTACCTTGCAGCAAGCTCTGGAGGTTGAGCTGGGCCTCCTGGTGCAGCTGCTCCATGCCCGGTGGGCGCCCGGCCGCCAGGAAGACGTTCACAGGCTGCTGCCATGGCAGCTTGCCAGGGGCGGCTTTCTTGCTCTCAAGGTCCAGGTTAGAAGTGGCTGCAGGGGAGAAAGAGCAGGGTCAGAGGCAGGCAGGTGGGCAGCTTCCCTGCAGGTGCTGGCACTGGATAACACCGCACCGGCACAGCGCTCATCCCACCCTACCTCTGCAGGAACACAGGGACTGGGATCTGGCTGTGTCCCACCCTGGCAGGCTGCTGCCCACTGGGACCAACCCCCATCACTGCTACCAATTTGGGGGCTGGACACTGCCCTGTTGGGCTACCAAGAAGGGAGCTGGGTAAAATTGGGGAAGGAAGCCAGCCCTGCCACCCATGCCCAGCCGCACCCGGGCACAGGAAACGCTGCATACTCTGGTGGAGCAACATCCCGGCTGTAGAGGAGCAGAAGTTGCAACTGAAATGGGGGATCAAGGGGACCTATCGCTTCCATTGCCCTGGGTTCAGGGAGCTCAGGGGTCATGTGCCCTGTCCCCGTGTGGACACCCCTCAACCTCTCCACGGAAGGAAAGCTCCATGGGACTGCCCAGACCCTCTGAAACACCCTTATCGGTGGAAAAGTTCCTGGGAGAAGGATCTGGGCTTGCTGGTGAGCTGGCCCAGTGGGGAGCTGAGCGCTGCTCCAGCAAACAGGCTTTGCCATGGGAACGCTGCAGCCCCAGCACTGCCACTCTGAGCGGATGTGGGTTTGCTACCCAGCACAGAGCTAAGGGAGTGCCACCACTGGCACGCTGCCTCTGAGGACATCCACGCCCCGCCCAGGCACAGAGTGAGTCTCTGTGAGCTTTACACAGGGATATGGATGGCCACAGTCTCATCCCTGGGGATTTAGGGCTTATCCTGTGCTGCCTGGTCCCTGGCCCCATCTCCATCAAGTTGAGGTGCTCCAATTACCAGCATATGACCAACAGTTCTCCTCTGCCACCCACAGCGTGGTGCTGCAGAATGCCCATCCCCAGGAACATGCTACTGCCCCGCTGCCAAACCCTGCTCTGTGCCAGATCCCAGCCAAGGCAGTACCAGCGATCCCACTCATCTGGGAAGGGGAACAGCCCTTCCCAGGGGCTGGGACCCCCAGCACAAGCCACGTTCCCCTCTGCCTGTGGTGGTCGGGCTGCCATGCCCCCAGCTCACCTGCACTGCATCACGAGCATCCCCCCTGCTGTCCCTGGATGCCCTCCTGCCCACAGTGCCCTCCTGCCCCCAGATGCCCTTCTGCCTACTGGGCCCTCTTGGCCATGGTACCATCCTACCCCTAGATGCCCTCCTGTCTACAGTACCCTCCTGCCCCTGGGTGCCCTCTTGCCCACCCTTCCCCCAGCTGATGGAACCCGCACAACACCCGGCACCCCGAAGCAAGGTGCCACGTCCCCAGCCTAGTTACTTTTATAATTTGTGTTTCCATAACGACGGGCCTTAACACCAGGTTTTTTTCCTTTTTTTTTTCTTTCCTTCTTTCTCCTCTAAATAATTTGACTCGTTTCCATATCAACCAAGAGGTGTTGGGGCGCATGTGTGCATGTGTGTGCTGGGCACAAGGCAGGGTTGGGCATCTCCCCAAAAACCTGACCCACATGGCCGGGGGCAGGGACCACACCTTCACCTCTGAAGACCCCAGCCCCTCAATCTGCTGTCTTTGGCAAGGTTGGGGATCCACTTCTGCCCCCCTATTTCTGAGCGCACCCCAAGGGTGCACCCCACATCCTGGCTTGCTGCACCCCTCTGCCCAGCTCGCACAGCCCCAGCCTTGGCACAGCTGATGCTCCTCACCTTCTGCCTACACACCCCCCACAGCCACCCCCACTACCCCTGCCACCCCCAAAACAGTTACATGGCGTCCCACCAGGACTTGGGGACACGCAAAGCACAGCCCCCCGCCGCTGCCCCCTCCACGTGCCCGAGCTCCCGCCGCCCTCCCCAGAGTACAGGAGCTCACCTCCGCACCTCGGCCCTGCTGCTGGGGCACCCCCGGCACCCACCCCCGCGTGCCGACCACGTGGGCAAACCGCAGTGCCGAAACTGGGGGCCGCCCTGGGTGTGGCGGAAGTGTGGCAGCACCCAGAGAGGGGCCCAGCACCCTGCCCTGCAGCGAGGGCAGCCTCGGCCAGGTGAAGGGGGAACGGGCAGCGACAGGGGTTCCTGTCCCACAGAGCTTCCCCCTCTTTGCCAACACGCACTAGTTTGGGACCGTGAGTGAGGCAGCGCAGCCCTGAGCTGGCACAGCCAGCGGTGCAGGCGTTGCTGAGGTGCTGGCATTGCTGAGGCGTGGGCATCATGGGGTCCATCTCCCCAGCTGGGGAGGAGAAGAGGTGGGGGCAAGGATGGTTGAGCCAAGCATTGTCCTGGCACCCAGGTGCCCAAAACTTGCACTGCAAGGGCAGCTCCATGCCAGAGTGAATAGCACTGAGGCTTTGGCTTTGGCTCCCTGGGAGCAGCCGCTCCAAAGGTGTTTTGGGAGCAGCCACTCCGAGGGTGTTTTGGAAGCAGCACTCAGAGCCCAGCACCACGCAGCAGCTCAGCAATGGGGAGCGAGGAGCCAGCAGCCCTGATCCAGCAGCGCTGTCACCAATGCTCCCAAGGGATGGGCAGTACTTGAGAGCAGCCTGGTGCAGGATCAGCACAAGGGCAGGTTTGGAGTGTCCATGGAAGCCCATCTGCCACCCCCATCCACAGACATGGGACGCCTCAGCCAAGCAGGAGTGTCCAGTGGTAGGACACTGGTGGGAATGGTCCAGCTGAGCTGAGCCGATGTCCTGCCACACTTATCGGTGGCAGGCTCAGAACACAAAATTCCTCTGAGGAGTCCCATCCCTGTGGCAAATGCCTGTGGGAGGTGAATGGCATCCCAGGAGAGCAGAGCCAGAGAGACCAGCTCCATCCCACCACCCTCAGTCTTGACCTGAGTCTGCCCAGTCTCACTGTTGAGGGAAACTGAGGCATGGCTGGTAGGGAGGTTCACCTTGCTCCCTGCTGGCACTAGGTCCCCCTTCTGACCCCAGGGCTTGTGCAGAGGAGCAGGCAGCATCCCCTGCTCTGCCTGCAGATGGACATGGGCACAGACAGCATCCATCTGGGATGTTCCCAGAGAGCCAGCACCATCAGCTGCAACGGACACTGCAGCCTCAGAGTCCTGCTCAGTGTGAGCCAGTGTCCAGGCTTGGGGTGTTGTGGCCATGGCAGGTACGCAAGGACCAGGGCTGAATTCCAGGGGAGTTTGCTTCAAGGGAAGCTGAACTCCACCCTCTCCTGCAGAAAAAGTGTCCCTGCAGGACCCCCAGCCCCTCAGCACTTCCCGAGTCACCGCCGCTCCACACCAGCATCCCTACTCACCCACAGCCCAGGCATCCCGAATCCACAGGGAGATATTTGACAGTGCCATCGGAGCTGTTTCAATCCAGGCTGAAGCTCCCGTGAGACGGCGCCTCTCGCTTAAATTCACCACCAAACTTTTCCCTCTCAGGCTCGCTCCCCACGCACAGGAGAGTCTGGGGACGCGGCTGGAGCTGCTCGGACCCTCTCTGCCAGCGCGGAGCTATGGCAGGAATGATGTAATGGCAGCAGCGGGCGATGCGCCATCAGCAGAGCAGCCATGGCAACGGATACGGGCACAGCGGCAACCGCCGCCGGTCCGGAGCACCGAGCACGCCAGAGGGCGAGGGTGGTGAACTTGGGGGCCGAGACTGATCCTGACAGCTCCTCAACCCACCGTCCGGAGCCGCTGTGCCACAGTGCCGGTACCTTGTACCGCTGGCTACAAGCAAGCGCCGCGACCCGCCGCCAGCACCAGACTGCTCACTGCCAACGCGTGCGGCTTGGTGACATTCCCGTGGTATGCAGCCAAACTCGTGCTGCTCCACGGCGAGCGGAGAGGAAGGGAAAAGAGCAAACAGTGGGAGCTGGCAGCGGACGCAGAAACGCCTCCTGTCCCAAGCTCACCCCCCACCGAACCGGACCCGCCGGGCCAGCTCCCTGCGGGATGTGGAGCGGCATCCGTGTGCACGGTAGCTCCGGGGCCGGATGCCCACCCAGGTCTGAATGATGTCCCAGAGTGACACCCCACTGACACCCCCAGGCCTGGTGCCACAAGGCAGTAGTGCTCACCAGGCAAGTGCTCACACACACCGTGCTCAGGACGAGCCCTTGTTGGGACAGCCAACAGACTGTGCCCTGTCCAAATCCAACCCTCCCCAGGACACTGTCCCTCC